GGCTGCTCCACCAGCGACTGCGACATCGGGTCCTCGTCGCGCCCGATCACGCCCAGGTCCCGCAGCCGCACTGAACCACGTCGCGCCCTACAAATTAAATAAATAATGATGCGGAGGGGGTGAGAGAGAGAGAGAGAGAGAGAGAATCACACTTACATTATAAATGCGAAAATTAAAATGGATGGATGTTTGTTAGAGCTGTAACTTAACGGCCGAACGGATTTCAGTGAAATTTAGTAAAAAAATATAGTCTGGATGAATACATATGCTACTCCTTTTGTTTCTTTTTAATTACACGCGGATGGAGTCGCGGGAGAAAGCTAGTGAAAATTATCTCTTTTACAATAAATACTTACGTGTTTCGCTGGAAGGGCGAGTTGCTGTTGTCATCTGGGGGCGAGGCCGGCGCTGTGCTCGACTCTCGCGCCCCACTTACCGGCGGCCTCTCTAGTAATGCACTGCAATTGAGAGACATTGTAAAGAACAACATTATCGCTTAGTTTGTTAAGTTTGTTACTGCCGTCTCTGTCTATCCACCTGTCGGAGGGAGAGACGGAGCGCGTGGAGGTGCCGGAGGAGACGTGTGCGAGGAGCGCGGCGAGCGCGGGCGGCGGCACGCTCCACGGGTTCAGGTTCTGGTCGCCGTTTGCATTCGATGACTTCAGAGCGTTCGTTAGACGGTCGTTTTTCTCTTCCATCTGTAATAAAACGCATATTTAAAGTTTGTATTCCTTTTATGATTATACTAGCTTTTGCCCGCGACTCCGTCCGCGTGAAATTAAAAAAAAACAAGTAGCCTGTGTTCTTTCAGACTACGCTCTACACTATCAACTTGCTCTTATCCTTACGGAGGGTCGACACAGTAAGTGCTGCTCTTCCATACATTTCTATCAGCCATCATATCTGAATCTCCTCTTTTTTTAAACATATCCAGGGTCTTCTCTACACATCTATGACTCATTGGGATCGATTCAGCCGTTTAGGCTTCAAATTCTAACAAACATAAACCCATCTAAACTTTCGCAAGTATTAGTAAGAGTAACATTATTCAAAACAGTGTTCAAAACTCGTGTTAAGGAACACTTTATGTCACTTTGAGTTTTTTATTTTGTATCCTTTCTCCTATTTCTGTAGGTACGAATGTATGTATATTGTCTATATATTATGTTTGTATGTATGTATATATGTATATATTTATGTTAATATTTATGTAGCTGATATAATATAGTGTATGCTTTTGTTAATCTTATTATTAATGTGTTTATTTCACTTTGCACATCGTCATTACCTGCTAAACATCTAATTTGTATCGAACGGTTAGCAGTAAGAAAACTCTATTAGAGTTATGCCTGTACAACCAACGCTCAATATGTATTTATTGTGATTGTTTTTTTGTGTACAAAGTTTAAATAAATAAATTATAGTGAGTAATGTGTGGTGACCTCTGCAAGCTGTGCGCGCGTGTCGCGCAGCAAGCGCAGCGTGCGCGCGGCGTCGTGCGCGTGCGCGAGCGCCAGCGCCGCCAGCCGCTGCAGCGCGTAGCGCCCCGCCTCCGCGCTGCCCACCTGCTCCAGCACGCGGCACAGCTCCGTCTCCTCGTTCTCCTCCTGGTACACAATAACAATAACATACTATACTAACAAACACATGTAACAAGAAGGCTGTTAGTTATGAATGTGGAGGGGTACATCGGTAGAGGTAGAGCTAGAAAGAGATGGATGGATTGCGTGAAAGGTGACATGATCAAAAAGGGAGTGATGACAGATGACGGATGATAGAATGCTTTGGAGGACGAAAACCCGGTGCACCGACCCTACGGGAGTAGGATAAGGCAGGGGAGAAGATGACTAACGAACACCCCGCCCGCTTTTACAGTCAACTAGTGATGGGAATAGTAATACTTAATCGTACTCTATTTTCGTACTAATCTAACCGCAAGCACGAAGTGACCCATGTCAGATTTCTTATATTTTTTTGGGATAAATCCACTAAAATATCGCAATGTTCGACTTAACATCGCAGCAACTTAATATCTGGTTCACACAGGACCATTAAAGTTTGGACTCACTGGCGCCACTTAATCTGGATTTGTCTATGCCAGTTTCTTACCAGAGAAGAAAGTAACTAAAAAGCAACTTTCTAACTAAACAGCATGTAAAATAGCGTCAGATATCTGCGCTTACATGATTTTGTAAGACATTTTTAGAACAAAGTACCTCGATCTGCATGATCTGGTGCTGCGTGTCTGCGATGGCCTCGCGCAGGTACGCGAGCAGCGCGGTGGTGGCGGGCGCGGCGGGTGCGCCGGGCGCGGGCTCAGCGGCGGCGCGGTCCCGCTGGCGCAGCTGCGCCTCCAGCGTGGCCTCCAGCTCGGCCAGCGTGGCGCGCGCCGCGCTCGCCCGCGACACCCAGCACTCGATGCGCGCCCACGCCTCACGACACGACACACGCGCACGACCTCCTCTACTCTCTGTAAATATACCACCTCACTTGTATGGAGACAAGGTGTCAGACCGTGCACGCAACCCAAGATTCGGTGAGGCCATAGGTGGTATTGGGTGGGGATTGTTATTTATCTAATATATTAAATGCTACTGTTGGATGGTTGGATGGATTCCGCGCCAACAGAGTCATAGACAACTGCTTATCTAATAAGAAATATCCAAATATCAAGTATTGATAACTTTATAATTAAAATTACTTTTAATGTTTTATGTACCCATTAAAAATACGATATAAAAATGTAATAATTACCGTGAATTCTACCTGCCGCTTTACTACTAAGTTTGTCTCGATGACCCCTTCTTAATAACGATACTTCCTCTTGCTTACGTTTTAATACCTGAAGCAATAAATCAGAAAGTACAAAATGTCGCATTGCGTTACGGACACGTTTAAAAAATGTAATTTCTAAGAACATACCTGTTCCTTAAGCTTAGTTTCAGCTTCCAATGACCGTATTAGATTCGCGTTCTTACGAGATTCTTTACGCAGTTGGGCCACCTGAAACGATTAGTTAAATGATGACGACAAATATACAAAATATGTAAAAAAAACACATTATTTGCAATACCAAAATATTTACCCACCTCTTTAGCTCTAGCTGCCTCAGCTTGCGCGTGTCGTTTTGCTTCTGTACGCATTCGTTGTACTAACTTCACCTGAAATAGAATAAGTTTGAAATTAAGACAGCAAGTAAAAGCACAGCCGAGTATTTTACTTAGGGGCTTGTGGTAGTGTGTTGTGGGCGTGGTAGTTTGCAGGGGGCGTGTCACCGTGTGTTGTGGACGTATCCCAGTGTACTAGGGGCATGTCGTAGTGTGTTGTGGGCGTGTTACGATGTGCTAGGGGTGTGTGGCAGTGCGCAGTGTATGTGCTCGGGGTTACCTTGTCCCGCTTGAGGTTGAGCAGGTCGCTGCGCAGCGCGTGTATCTGGTGCGCGGTGGCGGCCTGCGCGCGCTGCAGCCGCCGCCGCAGCTCGCGCGCCATGCCCGACACGCGCCGCTCGTACTCCTCCTTCACGCGCTTCAGCTTCTCGCTGGGGGGCGACGCTTGCGCGGCTACAGTACACACAACAAGTTAATGACTTAAAAATCACACTCATCATACTAATATTACAAATGCTAAAGTTTATATGGATGGACTCTAACAAGAGTATGTAGCCTGAACGTCAATTGGCATAGATGTAGAACCTAGTCTGGAAGAACAGATATGCTACTTACATTAGTCTTTTTTAAGTTCCACGCAGACGGAGTCGCAGTTAAAAGCAAGTTGAATAAGGTTTTGTCTTTAATAGGCGTAGCAATAGTATACACGTACCCAGCGTGGCGAGCACCTTGTCGCGCTCCTCGCCGGTGGCCTTGATCTGATGGTGCAGGGTGTCGAGGCGCGTCTCGTAGTGCGCCCGCAGCGCCGCCAGCCGCCGCTGCGACGCCTCCAGCTGCTCGATCAGCCGCGCCTTCGTGTCGATGTCCTCGCTCAGCGCCGCCAGCTGCATCGTCAGCATGCGTTGACCTGCACACACGCATACAAATCATACATTTAATACACCAAATATTAATAAGGTAAATAAATTCATTTATAGCAATTGCTACATACCAGCAGTCTCCGCTTCGATTTCCTCGTCCCTCTCGTCGTCGGTCCTGTCATCTTCGTCGTGGTCGGAGGGCTCGGAGTCCCCGGCGCTCTCGCCCTCCGCGCGCTCCCGCTCGCCGATGGGCTGCCCGTTCTCTTCCCCCTCCCCCTCGGCCGCCGCCTCCCGCCCCTCGCGCCCCTCCCGCCCCTCGCCGCTCTCGCTCACTTGCGTCGCCAGCTTGCGTTGGAACTCCAGCTCGCCCATGCTACGAGCCAATAGTTCTTTCTCCTGGTAAACATAAACATGTTGGTGTCATGACTTTTATCCCTAACTTGAAGATTTTTGCTGTTAGTTTTATACCAATAATTAATTGAATGTATGACCTTGTAGAGTTCCCTCTTGGCGTCGTCCAGTATGGAGTTGGGGTCGTGGTGCGAGTCGTGCCGCGTGCGCGCCTCGCGCTTGCGGCTCGCCTCGTACAGCGCGCTCGCGTCCATCAGCTGCGCGCGCAGGTCCTCTATCTCTGTCACATAGCCCTGACAACGACAACCATAAAGTGTTTTCTTTAATATTGTAAGAAACCTACCCAGCGAGCGGCCACTTTAATTCACGGAAAAGGCGAAGCGACCGCTGCCCATAGACATCCGCAATTGCAAATGCGTTCCCTCCCCTAATTGACGGAAGACGATACGCACCTAAAGGGATATTTCCCCTTCCTATCTTAGTGGGAAAAGGTGTGAAGGAAAGGGTGTGAAGGGAGAGGGACTAAGATTAGAACCCCAGCACGCACACTTATGAGACAAAACGCGGAATTGATTCCACTTCACACTTAGCTTCTGTGTGGTCGTGGTATTACGTAGCGGGCTCTACCACTAGCAGAATTGTGTTAAGTAGAAGTGGCCTATTGAATTGTTAAACGTTAAAATAATGAGTACCTGAACAAGTGTGGTGAGAGAGCAGTCTGTGGCGTCAGGGCTACCGTCCCTGGGCGCCCAAGTGCCAAGCGCCTTCTCAGCCACCAGCTCGCTGTTCCTCGCTGACAACTGCTCGATAGTACCCTGCATCGCTTTCACACGCCGCCGCAGTGACTCCACCTCGCTCGTTAATATCGCATTCTCCTGCACCACGTCGCTCCACCCTTCCTCACCATTCTCTGATACTATCCGTTTACCCTGGACGATAAAGCATAGTCGTAACATTATGACCACAGACAATGAACTAATGAAATGTTATTTATTAATGATACAAATATCAGAGAAAAGATTTCAACACACAGAATTCAACCAATCCGCACTAGGCTAGCGTAGTGAACTATGACGTCATAACCCTTATTTTAGGGTTATCTTACTGAATACTGTTGTTGAGAGTTGTATACCTGTTTGTATTCAGCAAGTTCCATCTGCAGACGGGCGACCTCTTGCCGTAGCTGGTGTATGGTGCGCGAGGTGAGGTCCTGGTTGACCACGCATCGGTTCTTGATGTTACGCGCGCGGTTCGCATACTTCAGCGTGTTTAGCGTTTCCATAAAATCACGGTCACTTGGCGACACGCAAGCTATCATCACTGTGTTGCTGTTACCTGGTTTATAATAAAAACATATACTTAAGTTTCTTGTTTTAAAGCAAGAAAAGCTACTTCAACTTAAGATATATCCCAAGCTAATTTATGTTACGGTTATATCGTAAAAGTATGATATATCTCAAGCAAACGTAACGCTCACTAATAAGTATGGTATGTTATGATCATGAATAATTATGCTTTCGCCCACGATTCCGTCTGTGGGGAATTAAAAAAACAAAAGTGAGTACCCCATATCTTCTTCCAGACTGTCCTCTACATGTATATCAAATTTCATCAAAATACGTTAAGCCGTTTAGACTACAAACTATAAAGATTTAAAGATTTAAGAAAGAAGTAAGAATTATGATTGTTAGCAGAAATAGGAAAAATAGTTTGAGATAAGTCAACCTTACCGCCGAGAGAATCTTGCAATAGTCTCGTAAGTTTGGAGTCCCGGTACGGCACGTGTAGTACTTTCCTGGACTTGTCTCCAAGTGCTGATATAACATTGCCGAGGGCTAGCAACCCACAGTTAATGGATATACCTTCTCGAGCCCGCTCGCCTGTTGCACCTAAAAACGTAATATACCGATTATAATTAAAAAGTATACTTTAATAATTACTTTTAACACTGTAAGTAAATTAACAATAATTTTCAGTTGGACTTATGGTCGATTTCCCAGCTACTTTTAACCATTCATTAGTGTTTATGGTTTGATAATTTCATGAAATGGGTTTCCGAATTGCGTAACTTGATTGCTACTGTATTGAAATTCAATATAGAACTAAAGAATCACTAAGTATTGATGAAATAAATAGAAACTTCAGCAACCCAGCATTAATAGAATAAATAGATCAATATTGTGACCATGGAATCGAAAAAAGTTTTCGTCCAAATGCATATTTTTACATCATGTTTTCAACCCACAGAGTATATTTAAATAACAAAACACTCTTTCATAACTGGCGCCTTAGATCATTCTGTTGGTTTCAATATGTTTTGTTACAGCTTTTTTTAGTTCTTAAATAGAATTGTCTCTGCGCCATTATAGTTTGAGATTTATTATATCAGACACTGAAATAGGATTTAGAACGATGTTCTTTTAAACGTTTCTGTGAAAAGGTGACCCGGAAATTGTATATCACTTGTCAAATGTGATATAGAAATAATCGCATAATTTTAAATCAAAAGAATAATGATTGTGTTGACTAATAAATTACTGGCGTTCTTGGTATTTCCTTTAAACCGCTAGAAAAAATCTAAAAAAAAACAACGATGAAAGTCTGTGACGATATTTTGAAATCGGTCGTTTGTTTTTAATCTCGAAAACCGTCTATAACTTGCTTAGAACAGTAAGTACTGGATTCTTGAATCGTTATACAATTCTGGAACACATCGAGTGAGAAAAGGGCAAAATAATGATAACCTAGTCTAGTTCTTTCATAGTCCAATGGATTATAAAATAGTGTACCTGTTCGTTTAAGTCGTTCGGAGCCAGCAAGGTCTACAAAATGGAACTTGGCAGTGAGTGTCTCATACTGCTCGGGGGCATCAGCCTCAGCCTCCTTGTCCACTGTATCCTGATCCGTGGCCAATCGTCGTTGTCGTAGCAACAGTGTGAATACTGCATGAGATCTTGATGACGAGGAGTTCATGTTGGTGGCCGCGGTGGTTCTGGCTAACGCGCCCGCGTGCAGTGCTCCTAACGCATCCCTGACGCCTCGTACTGCTCGCATTGATGCTCCTACCACTTTCACACCACCGCAACCGTCTTCTGTTATCCTAAGTGCTCCCTACAGACAGACAAAATACATAGATAAGTATTTCTTAGTATTAAAGAGATTAACGTACAGAGAAAATGTTATTGATATATGTATTTTGAGTCTGGCTTCTTTTAAAGGAATAAGAAATTTATATTATACAGCGTAAATAAAACTAAGCTGCACTTGTATAATCACTGCACGTATTCAGTTACAAAGAGGATTATATACCTTGCAAGTTGTCCCCTGTAGTGCAATAAAGAAAGTAATAACGGACATTGATAATAAGATGGTAATATTACTTAACTTTTATAATTTCCATCATACTATAAGATGCATCTGATTAGAACTTAGTTTCAATCAACACTTATTTCTACTCTAGTCTTCTCGATTAGTTGCCATGTACCGAGTACGGTAGTGAACCTTACCTTAGCGAAGGGATCTTTGGCAGGATCGAGTAGATCCACAATATCCTCATTGTATAGTTCTATGAACTGCGCCTGCACTGAAAACTCTGGAGGTAGTTGTCCCTGCGCTCGCGCCGCCTCTGCTCGCTGCTCAGCGCCCGCGAACAGATCGCGTATGGCGCGCGGGATGATGCCGCGTCGCGTTTCGTCACCATCCCCCTCGCCCTCCCACCCGCTGCCCATAGTATACGTCTTACCGGAACCTGTCTGTTGAGTGTATTGCACATTAACAATCTTCTTGTTAGAGTGTTTTTTAGAATTAATTCATATTTAACATCTCACTCTGTCATATCATAAACCATACATAACTAATGTACTATCAGTCTGAAATAGAAGATTAAAATTCACTAAAGGCATTGTCAACAGGAGCAATAAATAATGGGCACGTGGTAAAGCTAGGGGCATGCTATGAGGCGACTGCGCGTCTGTGACGGCGCACGTGCCCGACATGCTGAGTGTCCAAAGGTTCAGCCCTACATACAAATGATGCTCTTTGCATTTTCTATGAACTCGTCCAGACGAATAGAAAACTAACTATACCTTAGTTATGACAAAATAAATTAAAAAGTCGAGATGTTGGTGCGCTTATAGTTTTAAAAATGGTAATTGAATTAAGACTTGGAATAAATCGCAGTGATAAGGCATACCGGGAATAGGTACTTAAGGAATCAAGGCAATTAAGATTGTTTCGTGACTAAAGAAATGCAAACAAATTATTAGACGAAGCTTTACTTTCAATCTGATAGCAAAAGTCACAATGAGTGAAGTGAAAGTCCAGTACAGTGATGCGAAACTAGGCACTGGATACAATACCAGGAATTTTATCAGATGCCCACTCTACCATGAAAGGTGTGATTCATGCAATAGACTAGATTACAGAAATTCTCGTAACACTATTCACTTACGGAATTCATTGTTCCTTAGACCAATTTCTAATGTACAAAGAATTGCTATGTTTAGTGCTTCCAGCTGCTGATTGAATGATAAATTAATTTAGACAAAAATAAAACTAGCGTTCTTTAACCTTATTATTGATAATGACACCTCGTTGATTTAGATAGGTTCAGATGCAGTACCTAATTGGGATAGGACGTCTGACAGAAACTGAAGCCGCAGACGCGAATTAATTTCACATAACAGAATTAAACACTGGAGGGTGTCTATCTATTCATGGTAAAAAGATCTAAAAGCGTCTATTGTCCAGCCGTTTCAGCAACTAAAGGAAACGATCGAAATAACTTACAGTAACAGCGACAAATGTTACACTTTCGTCAGTTATGTAGTTATTGAAAAGATGGAAATATCAGTAATTGCGTGTCAAAATTGCCTAGTATTGGTTAAAATATTCATAAATGCACCCATAAATTGTAGTTTCCTTTCGTTTTTCTGATGTGTTGGCCAACGATACGGATTTCCCTGCACGTCACGGGCTTTGGTGGGATTATCGATCCCGCCGTTCAATTACAACGGCCGCTCTATACCGCATTGTTTCGTGCTAACTTTTTATACAAAAATGACTGGGCTGTTGTAATCAATCTCTGAGATTAACGTTCGAAAATGTTTTATAATGTTTTACATGGAAAATACTTAAGTTTATAATATAATTTTAAGTTAATAAGACTTTAAGATTAGACTTAGAAGGAATCTTGCATATGATTTTTTTTTATTGATAATAGCTACGTATATATAATTTTAAATTCATAGTATGATTAAAAAACATAATTGCAGTTGTAATATTACATCTGCAATTTTTAAATTGCGAATCATGCGTATTTAAAAACGTTAAATGGCTTAAAGCAATTATCATAACCTTGCAGGTTTTTGTTGTGGGAAGTAAATGTTTTTGCTGTGACAAGTTTTTGTAAAGCGGTTTAAGTAGCCACTATTTAGTATGAAATGTCTGAATAACATGACACCTAAATAAACTTAGACCAATATAGGTTCCATATTTACAGATTACTTATGTTAAATTTTGGGCGTATATTGTAGTTTAATTGAGATGGTTAACACCATTGTAATATGTTAACGCTTCATAAACAATTGTAATTTATTTGGCCTTCTTAATTATGCAGTCGGCTAGTATTATATTTATTTAAATTTACATTTTATCTGTTAAATTTATGGGATATTGACATTACAAGCAGCTCAATTTACAATGTTACAAAATAAAAAATCGTCACAAAGAATTTTTGTAGATCAAAAGTATAATTCCATAGGTAATATTTGTTTATAATAGTGTAAAGCACGATTCGCTAATATACAATGCAAACACAAGCGAGGACACGCGGCGTAACAGACGGACAAACAGATTCGCCTCATTGGCCACTATTTAATTTCTGTATTATCTACAAATAATAATTTATGCTTTGAACTCCGATGTATAAGTTTAAATAACACCTTAACAACACAGTAGGATCCATTACTAAACTAATTACTAAAGTAACGATTTAATAGTAAGGAAAATGTTGACTAACTTTGTTACTATAAACCTGAGTGACCCTTTATAGATTGCGGATAAAAATCGTAATCATGGGCCACAGTTGATCTAATTCATTAGAGTATAGACTGGTTCACCAATTCTTATACAATCCAATTCATTACAATTCACTCGATATTTCCTTGATAATCCTTATCAAAAGATAGCCCTGGTATTGACTACTGTAGATAAGGAAATGCAATATACGATCCTTCGATGGTCATTTCTGATAACTAGTAAACATGGTGCTAATATGCATAAATACTTGGTTTCACCACTCCCTTTTATATGTACTTTTTAATAAGGAAAAGGTTTAATTCGTCCATATATTTTTTTATGGTCCTTGTTTCTTTACTCAACATTGTTGAACTCTACTCAGCCAGCTATGGCGCCCTTTCCAAATGGCATAGTCTATTTAAAAGGTACTCTGAATTATTAAAATCAGGAAAATTGAAATAACTCGAAAACTACTGGACCGATTTCAAAAATTCTTACACTATTTAAAAGCTAAATTAATGAGTAACGTAGGGTAACTTTATTCTTTTTAATTTCACGCGAACGTAATATTAGATCATTTTATAAGTTACTTTAAACTTTGATTCATCACTACATAGGTTAGAGGGACAAGTTTATGGCAATCAATGGCAGCATTTTTGCTTTCGATAAAATGCGCATAACTTAAATGAATTGGAAAACCAATAATATAATTTAGTATTGGCTCTAGTATTATCATTCCAGCCCACACTTTATCATTGCAGAGATTAGAATTGATAACGCCATACTTGGCAATATTTTTAAACAAATGCAAAGTTTCCACAAACGAATTTAACTCTTATTTCTATTACTTTTAAAGTTGGAATTAGTGTTTTTGTAGTTGTTAAATACAGCGTGTTCTAATACGGATGGCGCCTGAAATATTTAAAGTCGTGTTATCAGTTGTTTGTCAAAGACTGTGTTATTGTGAGTCATTAAGATTACGAAATATGCGATTATATCAGAGTTAAGATGCACACCGCATACAATGCATGTGACATTGGACTTCAATGGTATCGTTTCAATGATAAACCAGCGCGGAATACGTAATTTTATTACCATTTGTTTGCAATTTACTAATACGGTTAGTTTGAACTGCTAAACTACTGAACGGGTCTCGATGAAAAGCATAGAAGTACAACAAAGTCTGGAAGAACAGATTAGCTACTTCCTTTTGTTTTTTTTTAAATTCCACGCAGATGGAGCCGCGGTCAAAAGCTAGTTAGTCGAAGCTATTAATGAATTCATGGACGTCATTACTGGGAAGGTAATTGCATGTAAGGGTTTGTTAGGGAAAAGCATTCTTCCCCCATTGTCGGGTGAATACAACTTGCGTGTTGACCACATGAAGGGTATTTAAAACAAATGCATGGCTTAACTGCATACAACCTTACAAATTAAAGTGAAACTTAGGAATAGCTAAGTATATGAAAAAATACTACAATTTTTTGAGTGGCTGATAGAGTTTAGTGGTTTACGTAAGCCGTAAGAAAAATTATTAGATATCAAAGTAAAAATGCTTTATTTCTGCCTATCCCTTTGGGAGACTGTGAGTGTAGTAAAAATGTTTGGTAACATCAAAGTATAGAATTATGACAGAAATGGCAATGATCGATCGTCACCAGCTGTGTGGGACAAGTTGAGTGAGGCTTCGCGTTTCCGCTTACGGCATTAACGCGTTTTCGCACATGTGACGTCACTGAGGTGTGCTCTAACTAGCGATAGATAAAAGAAAAAGCGATCTATGAACAAAAACATGTGATATGATGTCGAAAATCAGGAAAACTTTCGAACTGGCTGGCATTTTTAGAGCATAATTGGATTTGAAGTCATTCCAATTTTTTTATCGTATATTATATTAACATTATTATAATCTGGGTTTTACTACAACTACTACGTAAAAATATTTCACCACGATTTCCTCATGTTATCTAACTTAACTTGATCCATCTGATCATCTGAACTGGATCCATCAGTATTACGTAATTAAGATATTTTAAGCTGTGCGTATAAAAATATTACCTAAACGCTTACGGCCGCGACCTTGAGTCCTTATTACCATTTGCAGCAACTTTATCTGTACTAAGACGTGTTTTATGTCTACGGTAATGATGCCAAAGAAGATTTATTAAAATCAAATGTTCGATAATACGATTTAAAAGAAATTTCGCACATTTAAATAGCATAAAAAATATAAAAACGAATTCGCAATAACGATATCGTAGCGAATCAAAGCGAGCGTCGAATCGCCAATTGTGATTAGTTCTGGCAAAATGCTCCGATGTTATAGTTAAAATGACTTTACAGTTAATAAAACTATCTATGAATATATGCTGTATATAGCAATATTATTATTATTTTCAAAGAATTTAAAAATATATTGCACGAAGCAGACAGATTAAATTTCTGAATAAACGATCTTCAAACGTACACAAAACAATTTTAAAAATAAAGTTCTCGTTTAAATTGATTCTTTTAGCTATGAATTACTTGTTTTACGTTTCCTTATTTATTAACATTCCCTTGTGTATGAAGAATCAATAAAATTAAAAGAATTAATAGAGGGTGACTTCGTTCAATATTTGCACCCTCGTAGCGTATTTTGATGGGGTTCGGCCACCCTCGCCTGTTGGAGGTTTACGATTTACGTCTGCATGTAAGTTAAATGTTGATAAATTTTTTAGTCTTTTACCTCAGA